TCTTTTCCTTTCAACAAGTAGCAATTCCTTTTCATGTGGCCTAACTGGCCACAATGATAGCATTTCACTCCACTTTTGGACTTTGATCTGGATCTGCCTCCTCGTCCTCTGGGTTCTCTGGTTTTACTCCTGCCTCTATTCTCCGTGACAAGAGCTTGAGTATCTGGTTGCGAGAAGACTCCAAGTGCTCGCATCCTTTTTTCCTCTTCAAAGATCTTGTTTTTGGCAATTTCCAGTGTGACTTGACCACCAGGAGATGAGTTTATTGTTGTTGATCTAAAACTCTCCCATGATTCCGGCAAGGTGTTGAGAAGAATCAAACCATTCACTTCATCATCAAAGTTTATGCCCAAATTAGCTAACTCCTTGATGATGCTAAGGAAATCATTAACATGGTCTGCTGTGGGAGTGCCATCTTTGTACCTTGAGTATACATTAATTTCTTTATATGGCACAATTTATTCTGCTTAGTCTTCGCCCGGAAAAGCTGATCTAACTTTGTCCATAGTGTGCGTGCATCAGTTTCATCATTGATATGATTCAGCACACTATCATTAATCCATTGCCGGATAAATCCATACACTCGCCTATGGAGTAGCCTCCATTCTTCATCCTTCATGCTATCTAGTTTTTGCTCTGAAAAGATAGGCTCATGAAATTCCTTCACATAAAGAAGGTCTTCCATTTTCCCCTTCCACGGCTGATAGTTTGAACTATTCAGCGTGATCATTTTGCTCTGGTTCACCTCCATTGTTCACGTGAATATTAGTAGCGCCTAGCTCTGATACCAGTTGTTGGAAAAATGACGCAACGGAATAAATTAATTCCTGTTATCAAAACACGTGAACAATAACAAAGAACGGTGAAACAGGCGGCTTAGCCGACCAATATTAACGGTTAGTGAAAAAGGCGGCTTAGCCGACCAAGTAAAATAAAATGGGCGTTTCAACCTGCCACTTAAGAAATATAAATAAAATGGGCGGTTCAACCAGCCACTTAAGCGGGAAAATAAACAAGCAAAATAACACCAAATTTTACGTGGAAAAACCCTCAAAAAACTATTGAGGGAAAAAACCACGGGACAAACTCCGAAGGGTATTTCACTATATGATAAAATTGTACAGAGTATACACTCAAGTATTTTTCTCTCTCTTGGTGTTTCCCACTCCCCCAAGATATGATCACAATCTTGATAAACTCACAATTTTTATCATTCAATGTACTCTCTCTATGGAGTACACTCACACCTAAGCTTAATGCCTAGCTCTCACCTTTTTTTCTTTTCCTCGGAGCCCTCTTTTTTTGCTCACTTTGGTGCTGCACTCTTTGCTTCTTTTTTTGCTCACTTTGGTGCTGCACTCTTTGCTTCTTTTTTGCTTTTTCTTTCTTGCTTGCTTATTGCCTTGCCATTGCATGCTATTTATAGGGTAAAAAA